TCCTGTTTTTAATCCATTCAGTCATTCTGTGTGGATTTTTTTTATTGGGAAATTTAATCCATTTAAAGTAATTATTGATGGGTAAGCACTTACTAATGCCGTTTTGTTCTATTGAATTCTGCAGTCATGTTTTTTTTTGCTCTAAGATTTGATGGTTTCTCTTTCTTACATTTCTCATTTTGTTCATGCCACTGTTTTCCTAATTTAATTTAGCTATCTGTTTTCTTGTAGTTTACTGACATTCTTTAAGAAGATCATTCTGGGGGCGCCTGGGTGGCACAGTCGGTTAAGCGTCCGACTTCAGCCAGGTCACGATCTCGCGGTCCGTGAGTTCGAGCCGCGCGTCGGGCTCTGGGCTGATGGCTCAGAGCCTGGAGCCTGTTTGCGATTCTGTGTCTCCCTCTCTCTCTGCCCCTCCCCCGTTCATGCTCTGTCTCTCTCTGTCCCAAAAATAAATAAACGTTGAAAAAAAAATTTTAAAAAAATAAAAAAAAAGAAGATCATTCTGAATTCTTTTTCAGACAATCCATAGATCACCATTTTATTAGGGTCAGTTATTGAAGCTTTATTAGTTTCTTTTTGTGGTGTCGTGTTTACCTGTTTCTTCATGATTCTTGGTTCTTTGCATTGGTATCTCTGCATTTGTTTAAGCAGTCTCCTTTTTCAGACTTTACAGGTTCACTTTAGCAGGGAAAGACCTGTCACTACAGCTTGGGGGTACTGGACAGGTCTTCTGGTAGCCTCTGTGGGAAGGCAGGGTTTGCTGTTGGGGTCTCTTGTTTGGTGCGGCCATTGCCCGTGCTCTGAGGTTGGGGCTCCATGTTCAAGCAGGATGACTGGGCAACTATCTTCTTGTTTGGATGGGGCTTTTACTTATTTATTTATTTGTTTATTTATTTAATATTAAATTTATTGTTAAATTGGTTTACATACAGCACCCAGTGCTCATCCCAACAGGTGCCCTCCTCAATGCCCATCACCTACCCTCCTCTCCCTCCCACCTCCCATCAACCCTCAGTTTATTCTCAGTTTTTAAGAGTCTCTTATGGTTTGGCTCTCTCCCTCTCTAACTTTTTTTTTCCTTCCCCTCCCCCATGGTCTTCTGTTAAGTTCCTCAGGATCCACATAAGAGTGAAAACATATGGTATCTGTCTTTCTCTGTGTGACTTATTTCACTTAGTATAACACTCTCCAGTTCTATCCACGTTGCTACAAAAGGCCAGATTTGATTCTTTCTCATTGCCAAGTAGTATTCCATTGTGTATATAAACCACAATTTCTTTATCCATTTGTCACTTGATGGACATTTAGGCTCTTTCCATAATTTGGCTATTGTTGAAAGTGCTGCTATAAATATTGGGGTGCAAGTGCCCTTATGCATCAGCACTCCTGTATCCCTTGGGTAAATTCCTAGCAGTGCTATTGCTGGGTCACAGGGTAGATTTATTTTTAATTTTTTGAGGAATTTCCACACTGTTTTCCAGAGTAGCTGCACCAGTTTGCCTTCCCATTAACAGTGCAAGAAGCTTCCCATTTCTCCACATCCTTGCCAGCATCTGTAGTCTCCTGATTTGTTCATTTTGGCCACTCTGACTGGCGTGAGGTGGTATCTGAGTGTGGTTTTGATTTGTATTTCCCTGATGAGAAGCGACGTGGAGCATCTTTTCATGTGCCTGTTGGCCACCTGGATGTTTTCTTTAGAGAAGTGTCTATTCATGTTTTCTGCCCATTTCTTCACTGGATTATTTGTTTTTTGGGTGTGGAGTTTGGTGAGCTCTTTATAGATTTTGGATACTAGCCCTTTGTCTGATACGTCATTTGCAAATATCTTTTCCCATTCCGTTGGTTGCCTTTTAGTTTTGTTGATTGTTTCCTTTGCAGTGCAGAAGCTTTTTATCTTCATGAGGTCCCAATAGTTCATTTTTGCTTTGAATTCCCTTGCCTTTGGGGGTATGTCAAGTAAGAAATTGCTGCGGCTGAGGTCAGAGAGGTTTTTTTCCTGCTTTCTCCTCTAGGTTTTTGATGGTTTCCTGTCTCACATCCAGGTACTTCATCCATTTTGAGTTTATTTTTGTGAATGGTGTACAAAAGTGGTCCAGTTTAATTCTTCTGCATGTTGCTGTCCAGTTCTCCCAGCACCATTTGTTAAAGAGACTGTCTTTTTTCCATTGGACGTTCTTTCCTGCTTTGTCAAAGATGAGTTGGCCATACGTTTGTGGGTCTAATTCTGGAGTCTCTATTCTATTCCATTGGTCAATGTGTCTGTTTTTGTGCCAATACCATGCTGTCTTGATGATTCCAGCTTTGTAGTAGAGGCTAAAGTCTGGGATTGTGATGCCTCCTGCTTTCGTTTTCTTCTTCAATATTACTTTGGCTATCCGGGGTCTTTTGTGGTTCCATACAAATTTTACAATTGCTTATTTTAGCTTTGAGAAGAATGCTGGTGCAATTTTGATTGGGATTGCATTGAATGTGTAGATAGCTTTGGGTAGTATTGACGTTTTAACAATATTTATTCTTCCAATCCATGAGCATGGAATGTTTTTCCATTTCTTTGTATCTTCTTCAATTTCCTTCATAAGCTATCTATAGTTTTCAGCACACAGATACTTTACATCTTTGGTTAGATTTATTCTTAGGTATCGTATGATTCCTGGTGCAGTTGTGAACGGGATCAGTTTCTTTGTCTTTCTGTTGATTCATTATTAGTGTATAAGAATGCAACTGATTTCTGTACATTAATTTTGTATCCTGTGACTTTGCTGAATTCATGTTATCAGTTCTAGCAGACTTTTGGTGGAGTCTGTCGGGTTTTCCATGTATAATATCATGCATCTGCATGGGGCTATTAATTGTGCTCTGCAGTCAGGTGGGGCCACTAGCTGGGTTCTGTGAAGTCCCAGGCTGTGTTCCCTGGCAGTATGGTGCCACTGGTTGAACTCCTTGATTGGGCAGGACTGTAGGCTGGGCTCTGCAATCATCCCTGGTTGTATGGGGTCTCAGACTGGACTCTAGAACCATATGGTGCCCCTGGCTAAACTCTTGTGTTTATATGGGACTTGCAAGTTCGTGCCCTAAAGTTGAGTGAGGCTGCATGTTTGTCTTCATTATCATGTAAGCCATTGGCTATGCTCAGGTGGTAGGCAAGGTCATTGGCTAGGCTTCCTTGTCCCTTGGGACCACAGTCTATGCTCCTTGATTGGGTAGGGTTAACAGCTTGGTTTCCTGTCTGGGTAACGCCACAGGTTGTGTTCAACAGTTAGACAAGGTGAGTAGTCTAGGCTCCTCTGCTTATCGGGGTTGTAGGCCAAGCTTCTCAACTGGATGGGATTGTAGGCTAGGCTGTGTCTCACAGTACAGTAGGCTGTGCCCCCATGTTTCCCAGGCCACTCTTCAGGCTCCTTGGTTATGTGGGGTCAGAGGCTTTGGTGAACAGTTGGGCATGGCTGCTGGTTTGACTCCCTGGGGGAGCAGAGCTATAGGATGAGCTCTGTGGCCGCTCTAGTTCCCTGGCTGGGCTTCCTGGATGGGTGGAGCTGGTGGTTACACTCAGTGCTAGGGCAGGACTGGGAATTTGCCTCCCTTCTTGGGCAAGGTGGTAGAACAGGCCCCCCTGTCAGTATGGCCCACTAACTGGGGATCCAAATCAGGCAAAACTCCCAACCAAGTTCTGTAAGCCAGAGGGGGCCCCTGGCTCAGCTCTGTGGATGGCCAGAGCTGCTGATTGGGATCTCTTTTTAGGAGTGCTGCTGCAAGCAGGAAAGCCATCAGCCAAGACCTGAACACAATTTGCTGTAAGCCCCACCCCCTTCTCCATCTCTGTCCCCAGTAGTCAAGCCCTGCACATTCTTCCAGTGACCCCTGTGAGGCAAGACATGAATGGGCTTCCTGGGAAGTGTCCCATGTGCTGGGGGAGCTAAATGTCTGCCCCGGGCTCTCTTTTCCCAGTATAGAAACTGTAGGCCCTGGTGGGGGGCTCTCATTGTGTCACTGTGCCACTGTAGGGGAAGGGTAGTGGTGTCAGAGTGTGTCCAGTCCTCTTACCCTTCTAATGTGGGATTTTGACAATGATGTTTTTTCTATGGATAGTTGACTGTTGGTCTTCTTGTGAGGGAGACTATAGTTGGGAATGACCTGTATGGCCATCTTGATGATACCATTCTCCTATATGCTTAACTTCAAGTAGGCTATACATTCCTTAATGGGACAGATAGATTACGTCTTATAATTTTGCCTCTCTGGTGCTTAGCTCCATGTTGGGAATGTGGCAGGTGAACAATAAATGTGTGGTAATTCTGTTATTGAGCCCTGTAAGAAAATGAAGCATTAAGGTATGAATTGGCTTCTGTGTGTACATTTTCAACTTTTAAATACAGAATTGCTGTTCCTCCATGCATACCTGCATTTGGATTGTGTGTTTTTTCCTTCAAAATCTCTGTTGTCAGTAATTCATGGTTATTGATTCATAGTCTTTATTGGTAATAACTCTATGGGCTGCTTTGCCTCAGGGATTATTTAATTAGGGTATTGCTGTTTGACACTATTCAAGATAGTGTTATACCCTAAAGGGTATTGGATTTGTCACAGAATGACACTGAAGAGAAGCCAGGGATAGGCAAACTAATAACATCCTAGCTTGGCTATTATAATTGGTTTTTTTGGCTTTTTTATCCAATATTTTTTGTTTATGTCACTGCCTTCCTAAGAAATAAGCATGTGACCAATTTGATGACTTTCATATGGCAAGGGCAGAAACTAATGGTAGACAAATAAGGACATAGTAAGTTGATAACAGATAGAGTCCATGCCTCCAGAATGCTGTGTTTCTCTAAAGTTAGATATCTATTTGTGATGAAAAAAACATTTGTGTAAGGGGGCAAGATTGGAATGCACTAAAATGAAATGTTCATGTTGACCACATTAGCTTTAATGGAACTTATTTGATATAGTGACTCAGTCTCTGTGAATCTGACTATGTGTATGCGCTGTGTTTTATACAGGGAATCATCATCCAGGGACCTGCCAGAGACCACAAGAAAACATGGGGAGGAGTAAGTTTCTCTTGCTTTTAAATAATTTAGACTTTCTCCATATTAATCTATATATACAGGAAATCAAATTTGCAACTCAATGTGTTTTTTTTGTGAACATCTAAATTGTATTTCTGGTTAGTGTTAGAAAGTTTTTGTCTGAAGCAGGGCTATGCAGAGAATCACCAACAGACCACATGCTGCTCATTGGCAAGGTTTTTTTTCGTTTTTCCTCTTTTCTGAACATCTCTCAGTACAGGGAGAGATGGCTCAAGCTTGATATCTATAGACCTGCCTTAATCCGAGCTTCTTTGCAACTCTTGGGAAAGTTACTCATTTGCTTCCATTGGTTCCTAAACCTTGTTGATAATTAAATAAACAAAAAAAATGATTCTGCTATGCAACCAATGACAGTATTAAAAAATTCATTGTTAGGTTGATTTATAAATGGTTTTGATTTCCCCTAAAATGTTAAAGCCTGGCATTAAGAACCATTAGGTGAATTCCTCTGATTTTTCCTTTCTCATGAGACTATTTATGGGCAGTAGACAATAGACAAATTCAAAGTCATTTTATTGTTAATAGTAACCAACCACCAGCGACTTCATAAATAATCCTAATCAACATAGACCATAAAAGCAGATGCATAAAAGACCTCAGAGGGAGACTTGGTGTTGTGTAGTATAGTGAGAAGAGTACTGGGCATAGAGTCAGAAGCCTGAAAAAAATTCTACTTCTAGTACTTTGATCTATTCCTAGAGTTTCCCTATATTTGCTTGTCCACCTCAAGTGGGGTTCGTATATTCTGTACTTCCAGCTTCAGGAAGTTGTGGTTGGCATAATGTAATGATACATATAAAAGTGTGTTGGGAACTCTGAAGTATAATAGAAGAGAGCAGTGGTATCTGCTCATTCTTGTCTTTATTGAATAAGTGTATTTTCATTGGTTTTGTCTCTTAACAGTTAAAACGAAGTTTTTTGATCAGATGTTTTTGTAGGCAGCAGGAATGGGACTAGGGTTATGCAAGTGATAGAGAGTACCTCCTTAATATTTTGTGCTCTAAGCACTTTGCCTGCCCCACCTTAGTATGGGCCCTGGAAGGTAGCCCCAGGGACTATGGATCAGTGATGGAAAGTTTCTTCCTGAACCTTGTTGAGTCAGATTTTGCCTCTTTTCTCCAGTGATTTCTTTAGGGATTGATTAGCCCCAGGGATTTTGGTTTTTTCCCAACCTCCACAAAATATGTCAATCTCCTGATAGTTTAGAAGTGTAAAAAAATTGAATAAATTTAGTTTAGAAATATAAGAAAATGAATACATTTAAAAAGAACTGTTGAAAATTCTGGGACTAATCCATGCCATGTTCTAACCCTAAGTCAGCTGTCAGCACAAGTTTCTGGAGTAACTCATTGTGGCTTGGTCCTTACCTAATTTTAGGCTTCAGGTAGATTTTGATAATGTTTGGATTGTTGGATTTCATCATGACCACATGAAGAAGAAAGCTGCACTGAGAGCAACACATTCCTTGTCTCATCTCTTCCTTTTCAGAATGATCCTCGGGTCATTAGCAAGGAGATCTTTAGGAGCTTACGTTAAAGGTGCTTCAGCAGGTGTTTATTTAAATGGTCAGGCAACTAATAATAGTTCTTGATAAAGGATAGGGCATGGTACTGTTATTTGCAAAGATGGGCATATTTCCAACCTGGAGATGAAGTAAGAGAAGTGCTCCCAAAAATGCTACTTTACAAACACCTGGAAACTTATAATAGCATTTTGACTGTTTGTGTTGTCCACTGTAAAAGCATTCTTAACATCCTGAGTCTTGAAGCCTCTCCATCCTTTACTCTCTAAGCTTTACTTAGCTTGCCTGATTTCACTTGCTAATTGCTGTCACTGTTAGTGGGAGAAAAAAGATGGTACTGTGTGGTAATTTTTTTTTTCTTTTCTGGCATCATACAATGAATTTTTTACTGGATTTGGCAAAGATTCTGACAAACATAGCTCAATGTGTCATACAAAGGGGCAGCAGAGGAAAATATCACAAAGACATGGCACTAGCCTCATTAATGAGGAGGCTTGGAAACAAAGAACACAGCTGGGAAACCAAACAGTGTAGGTGAAAAATTAAAATTAATATTGAGGTGAATTTCTTTTAGTATCCTTTGATACTGGATGAAGAAATTATTTATAAATATGTTAATGAATCATTCTTTTATGTGACATGAAAAAAATTTAAGCCATGTCTTACAAATGGTGATGGGAGGCTAAGAACACACTTTTGTATTTAATTTCTTATGAGACCACCATCACTGTCCATTTTATATCCTTGAAATCCCATTTACATATATCCCATATATGTTATATATATGTATTTATGGGATATATATACACACACACACACACATATATAGTAAAATGGGATTTACTATATATATATGTAGTAAATATGTATATGGGATATATATACTATATATAATATACTATATATTTATATTCTATATAATAGTACATGGTATTTAAATGTGCTATATTTAAATATATATTGATAGTAATTTCATATAGTATAGCACAGTAAATTATCTATTATATATATTTAATGTATGGTGTGTATATTACATTATCCTATATATAGTATATAGTATAATATTTATAGTATATATATAGTAAATATATTTATATATAAGTATATATAAATATATATAAATATATATATAAATGAGTTCTGAGCTAGGGCTTTGTACTTAGGACTTTTTTTAATGTTTATTTATTTTGAGAGAGAGAGTGAGAGTGCAAGCAGGGGTGGGGCAGAGAGAGAAGGAGAGAGAGAATCTCAAGCAGGCTCTGCACTGTCAGCGCAGAGCCCGACATGGGGCTGAATCCCATGAACTGTGAGATCATGACTTGAGCCGAAATCAAGAGTCAGGTGCTTAACCGACTGAGCAATCCAGGCACCCCTGTATTTAGGACTTTTAAGAATATATAATTATTTTGATATTAACAAGTATCTGTGGAACACTTCATAACTCTTAGATATTTCTCATATGTTATCTTACTTGAGTTGTAAGAGAACTCTGTGATGTAAATAGGGATATTATCTTTAGTTTATATATTATAAAACTGAGGGTCATGAGAGAAAGTCGCATCTGAAGTCTACATTCTATAAAATGAAGAGCCATAATGCAAACCTAGGTGTCCCTATGTCCTACGCAGTTTTTCTTTTCTTTCAATAAACCATGTTCTGAATGCCCTAGTCATTAGTAGTATATAAAGTCAATTAAAAACTTAGGAGCTATCTGTTGATTTGAAAAGTTTGGAAGAAAATATTTTCAAAGATCTACAGTGACGTTCATATATTTCTTGAAGCATGGGGGACTGGACAGATGGGCAAAGAGAATTTGGCTCACCATTTATGATAACAGTTAAAACATGTGTATCAGATGGTGGAGTGCCTCAAATATCAAAGTCTTCTGAGCAGCGGGGCACACAGCCCACAGTGTGAGGTGCCTAAAGTTAGAGGCTTAAGGCACCACTTACCTGGTAAAAGCCACCCTTCTTGATTGATAGGTTTTTGTCGTTGTGGTTTTTCTTAACAGGAAGAATATAATACATTATGGAACACCAGAATAGTATGAGACAACAAGGGGAGATGCTGTTACAAAAAGGAACAGCATGTATGAATAAAATCGTAAGATTTTAGTGGAGAATTACTATTTGCACAAAGAAGAGAATGTGAATATTTTACAAATGTGTATAATAGGCTCACAAAATACTATGTACATAATGATCGAGTACTTATTATTTTCAGATGGAAATTAAAACTTTATTCTACCTTTTCTACCTCCCACCCCCTGAGCAACTGGTATATTTATGACAAAATGACAAGTCTCAGTACTCCACAAAGCAATTTCTTGGGATTTTTCTTGCTAAAAATTTTGGAGGTTATTGTTTTGTACAATGTTTGAGTAGAATTTGATTTTTTTAAATGTTTATTTTTGAGAGAGAGAGAGAGACAGAGCATGAGTGGGAGAGGGGCAGAGAGAGAGAGAGAGGGAGAGAGAGACACACAATCTGAAACAGGCTCCAGATTCTGAGCTGTCAGCACAGAGCCTAACGCAGGGTTCTAACTCTTGGGAAGGGCGAGTTCATGACCTAGGCCGAAGTTGGACGCTCAACCAGCTGAGCCACCCAGGTGCCCCAAATGTGGTTTTTTAAGTCATACCTGTTTTGCATCTGAACTTTTTTTGTTAGAACGTAGTTCTCTTACTGTATGTTCTAAGTGCTCTAGCAGCAGTTCATGGTATTTATTAGTCTAATATACAGTTACTTGATTGTTAAATTTACTGCCTTTACGTTAGGAACAGTGCTTATGGTAGAAATTCATTATGCTGTCTCAATAATAGCAAACCTGTTTTACAAAATAGGAATAATATTTAGCCATAAATTTTCAAAAGGGTTATTTTTGCTTTGTTGTATAGAGAACAATGTCTGGAAGAGCTGAATGATGGCAAACAGACAGGTCTTATTTGTGGAGAATAATTAAAATAAGAATATGAAGATAGCTTAGCACTTTTTGTTTCTCCTCTTTCATTATTTAGTCTGTGAAAATAGCTCTTACCCTGCCCAGGGTCTGTAAAATCTTAATCTGAAAAAGTCACTTTGTGTCATCATATTCTATACCTAATGGTAGCTTAATGTCCTTGATGTTCTAGTATACATGAACATATCATTGTGCTATAAAAAAAAGTGGCAAATGTGCCAGATACAGTCTCTGTTTTTTTATTAAAATGTAGCAGCATAATTTCATTGGGTCCCTGGATGTGCTTGGCTCCTTTTACCCCAAGAAACCCAGAGATGTTCCCCCACTTATCAAGACTTAGTGGACGGAAAGATGGTTTACAGTACCACAGTATATCTGTCTCTAAGCTCTTGGATTCAGTGCTGAACTACTGTCCAGTTGAGGCCAATCCTAAACTTTAACTCTGAGCATACAGCTCTATATTGTCAAACAGAGAATGAACATT